CTTCCAGTGTTGGAGCATTCACCGCTTCTGGAGGCAGGTTGTTCCACTGGTTAATTGTTCTCACTGTCAGGAAGTTTCTCCTTAGTTCTAGATTGCTTCTCTCCTTGATTAGTTTCCACCCGTTGCTTCTTGTCCTGCCTTCAGGCGCTTTGGAGAATAGCTTGACTCCCTCTTCTTTATGGCAACCCCTATATATTGTTTGTGGATTGTTCAGCTATTTCGTAACATCCTGAGTAGTTGAGGTGCTGGCTGTGTGCCCATTAGTCTTTTGTGTTATAACGACCTGGGTAATGGGTTGTGTGATTACATCCTGAGATCTAATGTAGTGATATCCTGAGTTTTGTGTTGCAACATCCTGGGTGGTTGGCTGTGTTGTAATATCCCGAGCTTTAGCGTTGTAAGCCCCTTTTGTGTCGTTATAACACAAAAGACTAATGGGCACACAGCCAGCACCTCAACTACTCAGGATGTTACGAAACAGCTGAACAATCCACAAACAATAGCTCCCACACAGCCAACCAATCCACTTACAGCAACTAAGCCAGCACTCCACACACACACATCAATATTTATAGAGAGATGGCAGCTCCGATCACACTTTGCTCGCACAAGCACGAAGCCGAAGACCCCAGCCTGAAGATGACGAGTGGGACCTCGTCGAAACGTCGCCAAGATACTCTCAATCTTACATGGGAAAAGACCTGAATGTGCCAAGACCTGCATATATATATACATACATACACAGCTGCCTAACATGCAAGCTGCCCAGGTTCGAATCTCAGAAGGGCATGGCTAGCTAATGAGAGCTAAATAGCTCGAAATAGCTATACTAGTCTTCCTTTAACTCTTTGTCAGCAATATATATGGCAAAAAAAAAAAGAATCCTGCGAACTTGGAGGATGGGTGGCATAAGGAACAAAGCTGTTACAGAATCTAGTACTTCTGCTATAAATACTCTGAAACCTCCTCCCAGAGGGGAGCAACAGAAACAGTGAAGTGGTTGTGTGGGGTCTCTAACAAGGCTTCGAGCTCTAAGCACATAGCACTTATAAGCAGCATCCTGAATAACGGGAAGCGAGCTTCCTATAATCTTCCCGGCTGTCCTTACCACTCTCTGTATGGACCTTCTATCTGAGGCACAGCTGCCACCAAACCAAACAGTGATGCTGTTTGTTAAGACGCTCTCAGTCGTGCCTCTGTAAAAAGTGGCCAGGACAGAAGGAGAAGGATGTGCTCTCCTCATCCGACACAAGAAATGCAGACGCTGGTTTGCACACTTCACTAAAGATACCGTATGAAGCAAACAAATCAGATCGTTAGTCACCTGTGCCCCCAGATACTTAATACTATTGACCACCTCAGACGTTTCTGAGCAGATTCTGTTTGCACTTATCAAATTAATGAGCATGGTATTAAATAAAATATTTGCGTATCATACCACAACAGCTGTATAGATTATTCTCTGCACCGTTTCCAGATCATCTGTGTAGCTCCTCAAGAGGGTTTGAGCGTTTAGGCGTTCCTGAGAATAAGCGTCATTGAAACGTTCCACAAGACGAGCGTGGCGTAAAGCATGGTTAGGTCTTCCCCGGCTGGGCGAAAAATTTCGTACTGAAAGTGGACTAGGAGATCTACTTCGGGCAAGTCTTGGAGAAGAAGACCGACTTCGGGCAAGTCTGAAACAGATTTGTTGTCGAATGGCAGGAAGGCAAAAATCTTTACCGCTACAAATACTTTGCTCCAAATAGTTAAAATAAATAAATTTTGGAATATAATATTATTGTTTCTATTGTTCTTAGGAAAACACCTGCTTATGATTGCTCATAAAGTTATGTTAAAGGTCTAGTGTTCTACATTTTTTATCAAAATGAGATACTTTACAGCTTTTGAGTCTAGTTCACTCTGGATAAAGGAAGAACGTTCAGATGCTCTGTGCTTGAATATTTTGCCAATCACTGTCCAGTTTCCCATGCTCTGAAAAGCTCATTATAATTTTTTATTTATTTATAAAATTTATACGGGGCCCCTCTCACCATGGAATTAGTTTTCTGAATGTTCCCAAATGCAAGAAATGTTTAATAATTTTTAAAAAATAATGTTTCAGCGGATACAATTCTTTCTCTTTGGGAGGAAGATGTTCCATATTGAATTGACAGGCAGGAGTATAGAATTGGAGATTTAATGGAGATTTATGGCCTCTTTCCCCAGATCAAGGAAATATAATAATCCCCAGAGTCGCTCTCCATGGTGAGAGGGGCCCCGTATAAATTTAATAAATAAATAAATAATTATAATGAGCTTTTCAGAGCATGGGAAACTGGATAGTGATTGGCAAAATACTCAAGCACAAAGCATCTGAACGTTCTTTCTTTATCCAGAAAACATGTAACCATTTCTCCAGTCCATCACAGATAGAATGGAAGAAGACCAAGAATCTCTAATGAACATAGAAATAGATCTACTTAAAGAAGACCCCATGAGAACAGAAGCGTGCCTTTTGGTTGTCAGACTAGTAAGTAGCTATAGTAAATATGAGAAACAATAATCATAAACAGTGTCAGTTAATCAATACGTATCCTTCATCTTACTAAAATATATTCACAATAAAGTATCACATTCATTTCTCACTAGTTCGTTTTGATAAAAATTATCCCATGTTTTAAAGTAAACTGAGTCTTCTTTCTCTTTAACCTCTAAGGTTAATCTGTCCATTTCTGCACATTCCAGAATTTTCTTAATTATAATCTCTTCAGATGGTAAATTTTCATTTTTCCAGTATTGGGCAAATGCTATTCTCGCTGCTATCAATATATGCAATATTAAATACTCATTCTCCTTTTCATATTTGGCTCCTAGTATTCCTAACAGAAACAATTCTGGTTTAAATTCTATCTGTATTTTAGTCATCTTTTCCAACCATGTATGAATCTTAAGCCAGAATTTTTTCGCACTAGGGCACACCCACCAGATATGATAGTAGATACCTTCAGAGCTTTTTACCTGCTTTGAAGAAGAGACTTCTCAGCCCGAAGGATAGCAATTTCATCCTTCAACGTTTGAAGCCGATTCTCGTACTCATCCAGCTGTTCTAGATTCTCCAAAGTGCAATCTGATTTTGCCCGAGAAGCTTTTAGGCTTAACCACACAAAAAAAAAAAAATCAGATAAAAGGAAATATTGAAATTATGCTCTGCCTTCTGTATCACATTAACATCTACATGGAAAGCTAAAAAGCGGTAAACAGGAGGAATTCAAGAACTTCCACTCACAAGGGACAATTACCCTCACAATTTAAAATAAACCTTAACTTTTTTTTTAAACTCTTGGAACTGTGGAACTTTCTGTATTCTATTATTAGCTGTAAGATTACAAATACACATTGAGGAATATTGTGGTCTTTATAGAGCAGACATGTCAAACACAAGGCCCGGGGCCCAGATGCGGCCCGCGATGTGGTTTCATGTGGCCCGCGAAGCCATCCTGGAAACAGTGAGGGAACGGCCCCCGCTGCCTTGGCCCTGGCCCAGGCCGGCCGGGAGCCAATGTACAATTTTGTGGTCGCCATCTATGCTGAAACGCATTCAGTCTTAGCTCCACAAGGCCGTCCAGAAACAGCGAGGAACCAGCCCCTGCCACGTCGCCCCCGCCCCTGGGTGCATGCTGGGGAAGTGTCACCCTTTGTGAGGAATGAAGAAATGGACCATGCCATGGCGCTTGCCCCGGTCCCACTCCCTTCTGCCAGAGACCCTCAGATCTGTCCCACTCCTGCCCAGGCCCCGACAGGCACCCTTGACCCGAACGATGTAGAGCTGGCCATGCCCACCCAGTAGGCCACATCCACTCCATCCACGCCCACCCAGTAGGCCGCACCTACCCTGACCACACACCCCGGCTCCCCCGAGGGCAACCGCAATGCTGATGCGGCCCTCAATGAAATTGAGTTTGACACTCCTGTTATAGAGGTATTAAAAAAAAAACCATGCAGGGTTCCAATTTACTTCAGTTCCAAAAGTGGTAAGAGAAAGCAGCTAGTCTTGTCGACTCAAAAGATACTACCCCTTTCAATACTAGAGCCCTCCTACTCCTATCTGCCCAGTCCTGCTCATTTGCATAAATGTGTGTTTCCTGTTCTCTTCCTTGGTTTTAACTTCCAGCCCACTCCCCTTTATGCATAGGCCTTATCTTCCAATCCAAAAAAGGTTCCCATAGAGGACAGGATGCCTCTATTCCTCTCTTATTGATCATATGAAGCTCCGTATAAGTAGCTTCTCCACTGATTTCAAATGGAATGGGATGCTTTACATCAGTGGTTCTCAACCTTTTTAATGCCATGACCCCCAACCGGTCGTAAGTTGAGGACTAAACCGGTCGTAAGTCGAGGACTACCCAACCGGTCGTAAGTTGAGGACTTTCCCTGCCCAGGAGAGCCGCGCATGCGTGGTTCCGCCCCCTGCGCCGGCCGAGGCGTAGCTGGCAAGCGGCAGAGACGGAGCAGGCCGACCACCAGCTGGCCCAGTCCAAGGGAGGTAAGGCACCCACCAGAAAAGGGGAAAAAATGGCGGACAGCCTTGCTTGGCGACCCCCGTGAAATGGTCGATCGACCCCAAATGGGGTTGCGACCCATAGGTTGAGAACCGCTGCTTTACATGATGTAGGATGGGAACATATGTATAGATTGTAGCCAGACAGTGGCTAAAGACCCCACAGCACACCTGGTGGAAGTGTGCATTTTAGAATTCCTTTCAAGTGCGTGACAATAGTGGCCTTGGGGCTTATTATTTTACAATTGGCTATTATTAAGCTATGCTTGTGCTCGTTGCCTCTCATTCTGCAGCATCAACACACAAAAGCCCAAAACGTTTAGGTTGCAATCTTAAATAAGCCTAACTAGAAAATAAACCTGAATGAGCACAGTGGGAATAAGCACCAGATTCTGGATATAAGTTTGATTACGTTATTAAAAATCAACACGAGGCATTTAAAAAATGTCATACCCTTGTTTAATTGCACTGTCCTGCAAACAAGTTTTAACTTTCCCCACATGATTTTTCTCTACCCACTTGAACTCAAACTAACCACTGACTGTAAAAATTAAAAATAAATATAATACTGAGTAAATATAATACTGCACACATCACACCAGCACACAGGTGAAATTGTTCAGAAGATTCAGTATAACGGTCGCTAAAAATCACAGTGTGGAAATATCATGAACAGAATGTTGTCAAAACTTTCAGCCTGCAATCAGCTCCTTGACAATTCAGTGTCACACCCCAATAAACTCTAACCGTAACCTCTAAAAAATTTGAAAGTCATAAATATCTGAAGATATATAATAGAAAAATGATCAGAGCTCTCTAAGACAATAACCTGTCCAATTTCATTCAAGCGGTATACAGGGTTTTTTTAATATGTAAAAAATACAGCACCGCCATCTTTGGAATTAAGCGCTTTATAAGTAAGGCCAGTCTAATATTAGAAGATAAAGTCTCGCTCGGTTTTTTGCTTAAACTTTCTGAAAATTATGTAGTATGAAATTACAGGGCACGGCAGTAACATTCTTAGGCAGGGGTCTTCAAACTTGGCCCTTTTATGACTTGTGGACTTCAACTCCCAGAATTCCTCAGCCAGCGTGCCTGGCTGAGGAATTCTGGGAGTTGAAGTCCACAAGTCATAAAAGGACCAAGTTTGAAGACCCCCGTTCTTAGGCATAAGCAGAGGCAATGTGATTCAGGTTTTTACATAAATGGGGTGGATTTGTCTAGAGAAGAGGCCATAGAAGAAAGCTGGCTGTCATACTTACTTCCGTCCTATTAGGAACCCAAACCTTGTAAAAAAAAATATATTCCTTCAACAATCAACACCTGTAGAGCTTTTGGCCTAACATGGAGAGAATCTGATCTCGAAAATTAGGCAGAAACATCATCTTCCATGAATGAGATTATTATTGTTTTTTTCCAAAATCTCTTTCCCCCTCAATCTCCATGCTTTGTGATACTCAAAACGATCTCCCTATCTTTGAGGGCTAGTAGGTTTGGCAGTTATGGGAGAGAAGAGGCAAGGAAGTTAATTTTGCCCATCTCCTTCTGTAGGCAGTTATAGGAAGCAAATGCTAATAACAGTGTAAAAATCATCACAAGCAAATCTCAGCAGTTTAGATGGACAGAGGTCCCATCATCCATTTCCATGGGCAATACTGGCTAAGTCAGAATTCTGTCTTACACACTTGGGGTGAAGGCGAACACTTGGAATAAAGGTAGCGTCACCAATAACTTCCAAATCTTTCCACCAGGGCAGGGGTAGGCAACCTTGGCTCTTTTATGGCTCATGGACTTCAACTCCCAGAATTCCTGAGCCAGCATGGCTCAGCTTGGAAACCTCTCCCTTTCCCCTCAGCATGGCTGGCTCAGGAATTCTGGGAGTTGAAGTCCACGGGTCATAAAAGAGCCAAGGTTGCCTACCCCTGGGCTAAAGATATTCGGTGGGCTTCTCTGGCTGTGGATGGGACTTAATATCCACAAGGCCAATCCAACATTTTAACCATTATGCCACATTTGCTCTGCGCTGAAATGGTTCAAACGTGGTCAATTTGCAATGCCAGATACCATCAGAAGCATCCAAAGTTCTCACATTGTGTGAACTATAAGCCCTGCTTTAAAAAAAAGAAAAAGAGGCCTAAAATTTGATATTTTTCGCTTCAATCACATGAATTTATTCAGCTAATACTCACAGTTTAGCTCAGGAATGATAACCTATCCGTAGTATGGCCATTTATCTTAGAATCCAAGCTTGGTATTGGCAATTCCAATTGTAAATTTTATCTATGGTGTCTATGATTCACATACCTTTACTTTTAAAAAAATATGTGCTGCTTTTCTGTTATGATATGTCCATCAACTTTTATTCGTAACTGCTGCTTTCACTGTTAAAATTACAAAGAGGCCTTTTGAAGTTGTTGTGATGTTACAAGTTATGTTACATTTCTTTGAGTTTAGTAGTCAGAGGAAAAATTAAGCCACCTTGCCATCTGAAAAAAGTTTAGGCTATCTACTGTCCATGTGATGTTTTAAACTTCAGCCCCCCATCAGTCTCAGCCAGCTTAGCCAATGGTAAAGGAATGTGGAACTTGTAGTCCACATGTGGAGAAGATCTGTGTCCTTATTAATAGAACAGAGCAGCTGAATTACAAAAACTACGCCATGTGTTTGCCAGAAAAATGATGTTTAGAAATGCAACACAGAAGGATCCAACTGTTAGGCATGTTAGAATAAATAAGTAGATATTAAACATTTGAAGAACTTTAGTGAAAAATAACTTGGATGAGTGCCTTAAATGTAAATGCTAAAACAGAAAAAAGTTAACAAAAACATTACATCTTAAATGCAGAATTAGTCTAACTATTCATGCTTTACAAACAAACAAACAAAAAACAACCTGGAATTCTATCTCAAACCATGCAGAAATACTTTGGGATTAAGATGATGAGATAATGAGATAAAATTAGATGAAATGAAGATGCTTCATCTTCAATGTGGATGCTCCATCATTGGGAGGTTTTCAAGAAAAAATTGGACAACCATTTGTCCATGAAGGAATAAGGATACCTGCTCTGGGCAGGGGGTTGGACTAGAAGACCTCCAAGGTCCCTTCCAGGCCTATGATTCTATGAAGAACCTTGCAGCACCAGTTTTCTCTATGTTTAGTCAGAGGGGTGTAAATGTAAGGAATATGCCCAAATATTTTTGGCCAGTCAAATACACGTGATACCCTAGCATAGAAACCTAATAAAATTCTGTTAGCTCTACTTAAAGGCCATAGATCACACAAAACCTGTTTGTTTGACCTGGTTGCTTTTAATCAATCTAAGATTTGCAGATTGTACTGAGAATTTAAAGTTGAGATTGAGTGTATGTACAGTAGGTGGCTAAAATTGTGGAAACCTTTTGGGAAAAGTGTACAGTAGAAATGCCACCTTTGGTTAAGTTTCCACCCATTTTTCTTCTAATTTCTTTATTACTGTAGCCTTGTTCACTTAATAATACTATTTTACATCGCTTTCTGGGCAACCAGTCAACTCTTTGCACCATTACTTTAATTTTATTACGTTTTGCAAGCTCACTAAATGAAAGAACACAAAAACCCCCAACCAACTTGATAGCGATCACATAACACTGACAAATGTCCTCCTCTCAGCTTCAATACGTGACATCGATAACTGAATCCTACTGTGATCTGATTGGCTCATTGCCAAAACAAGATGACACCTGATTGGCTCTCTAAACACTCATGCTCATTGGCTACAATCAGATGAAGGAAAGCTCCCTGAGATCAACCTAAGCAAGTTTTGCTTCCTTTTTCTGGTTATTTGGCTATAACTTTTCATAGAATACAGTACAGATAATTGAACAAGCTATGTTGCATTACATTCTTGATTAAATTATCTTTCCATTGATATATAATTTTATGGTACTACTCCAAAATAAAGTAGTGTTATTAGCCATCAAACCTCAAAAATACACTTTTCCCAAAAGGTTTCCACAATTTTGGCCACTAGTGTAACCCTGGCATCTTAATTAGTTTAAAACTGTAATGTAACACGTTGGTCCCTTTATTTCATTCATTTGTATTGTATTGTATAAATTGTTTTTAAACTGGCTGTAAGCCGCCCTGAGTCCTCCGGGAGAAGGGCGGGGTATAAATATAATAAAATTCAAATTCAAATTCAAAAGAAGTAAGGCATCATATATGTTTCTTTTTACATACCGAATATTCAAAAACAGGTACTTGTAAGAAAAATCATCCATATCTCTCCAAAAGCAATTCAGATCAATAAATTATGACCATTCTAAGATAAAAAATCTAAACCTTTAGAAAAATCTAAATTTTTTGACAAATAGGGATTGTTATAAATAGCCCTGCATAATAAGGGTTGTTTTTTTTTTCCTTACTCTGTTTTTAGCTGAACAATTTCATCTTCTGCTGCCAAAAGAGTAGTGGCTGATTTGGTCTTTGTGTCTTCAAGAGCCAGCTGAGATTTTGTCAGACTGCAAGAGAATGTAATACCCAAAGATATACTTTTAAATGTAAAGTCACTACTTTTTCTAGTTTGTTCAATGAAACCGGGTGCAGTGTATCGAAAAACTGCAATCCCAATAAACCCCTTGGAAGATGAGAGCTTTGAACAGGCTGGCTCTTAATTTATTAACAGGTAAAGTACTTCATCAAAATCACAACTAGTACTACAAAAGTCACCATCAACCAAACTCAGATCCTCTACTTCAGGGGTCTTCAAACTTGGCTCTTTTATGACTTGTGGACTTCAACTCCCAGAATTCCTCAGCCAGCGTTGAAGTCCACAAGTCATAAAAGGGCCAAGTTTGAAGACCCCTGCTCTACTTCCTGGAGAAAACATCATAATATAACAATCACATTTACCTTAAATGATTGTTAAGTAGATGCAAGCAAAATATATGAATGGCACAGGCAAGTGTAACTTAAATCACAATTTGAAAAGTCACAAATGGGTAACAAAAGCGCAATAATTTACAAAAATCTTTTGTATATTTTCTTTGCAGAAGCTACAATTTGCAATGGATGGTATTTGCGTGTATTTCGGAGGCTGTAGTTGGATCACAGATTCAAAAGGCAATTTAGGTATCTGTCCATCCGTCACCCAATCAAGGTTAGTGCTGTTTACTCTCTCTTGAAAGCTGCTCTTCCAAAAACCATGTAGTCGTTATTCATTGTTTGCTTCTCAGAAGCTTTTAAGTGGAAACTCTAGGATTATTCCTCGCTGGCTGAGGAAGTCTGGGAGTTGAAGTCCACAAGTCATAAAAGGGCCATGTTTGAAAACCCCTGGGCTAAACTATGGATTCTGCCTAAAATGTCAACCCTGTGTGGGAAGTCAGCCCCCCCCCCCCCGGAGAAGGAAACATTAAAAGAGCAGAAAAATGTATTTCCTCAAAGGATCTTAAAGAGGCAGAAAAGCATGTCCACTTTTTCTTAATAGCCCCAAGTCTCCCTCCCCCAAGCAGAAACCAGCTCTGTAGAAATGCAGATGTGATAATCCACTCAGGAAGGTTGGAGCCCTCCAGCTAGAAGATTAAGAAGACAAAGACACCTAAAATCTACATACCCCACCCAAACTCTAAGACAGGACATAACAGGATTAACCCACAGATGCCAAAGGGACACAGGTCAAAATACACGACACAGGAAATACAAAGCCTCATACAGGAACAGGAAACAACCTCAAGAGCCCCAGAGGGTATAAAAACCCACTCCCTACATGTGCTCTCTCTTTTTCTTCCAGAGCCATCTTCCTGTCTGGCTCTCCTCTTCAATAAACTGCAACCTTCTTTCTAAAGCAGTCGCCATGTTGTTTATTCCCGGCTTGGACTGAACCACGATGAAGACTTTTCCTTCAACACCTGATTGATAGTTTGACAATCTCACACTATTGCCAATTCATTCAGTTGCTTTGATACGACAGCAAACAGTTTCCTTCGTATGATTATTGAATCTTTCCCAAATGTCAATTTAGTAGGCAGATTAGAGTTAAGTAATTCATGTCCTCTCATACAGAGACTATAGTAAAAACAAACTCTGCACTGAGACAGCTCATTGCAGTTGTTTTCTCTGCTATTATGAAAATGCACTTTAAAAAGGTGGGAATAATATTGTTCGGAGAGACAGTCTGTAAAGCATTCTTGCTAAGGGAAATATGCCATTACATAAACAGGAGGGAACAGTCCCTTCTCCTGCAGCTTCCTTTTATCAGATGTCTTCAGAATAGCTTTTGGAGAGTTAATCTCCACAGCAGAGACTGGACAAGAGGTGGGAAAGGACCATTGCATGAATAAAAGATCTATTTTATGATACTGGATTTCTTTAATTTCTTTAAACACATATCAAGAAAAGAGAGTATATCAAGGTAACTGCAGCATTGACATTTGTACCTGTCATAATCAAAAAAGACTTGGCAGCTTATTATATATGTGTTAATAAATCTAAACCAGCAGTTCTCAACCTGTGGGTCGCGACCCCATTTGGGGTCGAACGACCATTTCACGGGGGTCGCCAAACAACGCAGTCCGCCATTTTTTTTCCCTTTTCAACGCAGTCCGCCATTTTTTTTCCCTTTTCCTTAGCTGTGCTACTCCCTCTTATTCTATTGGCTTTTGAAAGAGCCATCTCTATGCTCCTGGGTCATGTGTGGTCGTGCGTGTGGGTCACGTGTGGTCATATGGGTGCATGCGTGTGGGTCACGTGTGGTCATGTGGGTGCGTGCATGTGGGTCACATGGGTGTGTGCATGTGGGTCATGTGTGGGTCACGTGGGTACGTGCGTGTGGTCACGTGTGGTCACGTGGGTGCATTAGGAAGGTTGAGAACCGCTGATCTAAATTGAGAAAAAATTCATTGTATTTATCCAAAAGTAAGACAATCCTAAGTTTAAAAAGAGAGATGACTGTACAACAAAAAAACCCCATATCTCAATTATTATATGTTCAAGTAAACAGAACTTCTCATTTTAAATGTAATTTATCTACCATGATGATCATCTTTACTTTTCACACACACACACACTTGTACTTTATTTTGGAGTACAATATATGAGTATTTTTACAGTTTCAAAGGGAAATATTTCTACTTTATTTTCCTAATATAAAATACTATTTTAAGATCTATGAATCTTTCATATATACGGTACTATATAGGCTGACATTCCATTGATCAACCAAACTAATTCTCAATTACATACAGGGCAAAACCACTTAGATTTTATTCATTGAGCCATTCAGTGTCTGCTGTGTTAAAAATATCTTGGAAAAGAAAGAAATAGCTCAATAAAGGTTACAAACCACACCTTTTTTTTTAAAAAAAAGCATTTCTTGTTACTTTAAAAAAAAAAAATTAGATGCTTATAAATATTTGTGATTTTACCTCTAGAAGAATTTAAGCCCATATAAATTGATTTATGTTTAGGTCAATTTTGCTCACAATATATGTATAATTCAACATGATTCTGAATATAATATGCTTCTACACATAAAGAAACATAAATCGACTGTTAATCATTATGGTTGATGTGCAACTCATAATTTATCAGGTTTGCAAGGAAACAAAACATTTTTCTTCCTTCATATGAAAATTAAAAAAAAAACATTTTTGTTTCTATCTGAGGGAAAATAAGGAAACAGCCATGTTTTTCTAAGATATCTGAGAACCACTTTATAGTTGCTTATTTTTTTCTATATCTCTAGGTATATAAACCTGTCGTATAAATTTGATGAGTTTGGTGTAGTGGTTAAAGCACTGTGCTAGAAACTGGGCAATCCTGAATTCTAACCCTGCCTTATACATGAAACCAACTGGATGACTTTGAGCCAGTCAGTCTCTCTCAGCCCTAGAAGAAAGGCAATGGCAAACCACTTCCAAAGAGGTTGCCAAGAGAATCGTAGGAATTTGTCCCAAAAAATCCACAGAAACAAAGAATGACTAAAGACACATCACAATCCCATTAAAAACCTTAACTTCCACAGTCAACGAATACAGTTACGCCAATTGTATAGTAAATACCTCGCACTATACAATACAATACGATCTACACATGCCAGTTTATGTTAAGCAGCCTTTTTGTCATTTGATGTACTCCAGATTGATGGAGATGACAAAAAATAAAGAAGAAGAAGAGAGGCAGTTTGGCATATAGTGCAGGGGTCTTCAAACTTGGCCCTTTTATGACTTGTGGACTTCAACTCCCAGAATTCCTCAGCCAGGCAGATGTGTGCCTGGCTGAGGAATTCTGGGAGTTGAAGTCCACAAGTCATAAAAGGGCTAAGTTTGAAGACCCCTGGTCTAGTGGTTAAGGTGCTGGACTAGAAATCAGGTAACTATGAATTCAAGTTCTGCCTTAGATCCGAAAGCTGGCTGGATGACTTTGGGCCGGTCATTCTCTCTGAGTCCATCTCACTTCACAGGCTTGTTGTTGTGAGGAAAATAGAAGGAAGGAGGAGTATTAAATACAAATAATCCTTGATGTTCAACCATAACTGGAGCAGAATGTGTTACTAAGTAAACTGGTTGTTAAGTGGGTAATGCTTGATTTTATGACTTTTTTGCCATGGTTGTTAAGCGAATCATTGCAGTTGTTAAGTCAATTGACCAAACATCAAGAAAGCAAAGAAAAGCAAATAAAAAAAAGTAAGGTTCTACATTTAGATAAGAAAAACCAAATGTACAGGTATAGTACAGGGGGTACCTGGCTCAATAGTAGTAATTGTGAGAGGGATCTCGGAGTCCTAGTGGACAATCACTTAAGTATGAGCCAGCAGTGTGCTGCAGCTGCCAAAAAGGCCAACACAGTGCTAGGCTGCATTAACAGAGGGATAGAATCAAGATCACGTGAAGTGTTAATACCACTTTACAATGCCTTGGTAAGGCCACACTTGGAATACTGCATCCAGTTTTGGTCACCGCGATATAAAAAAGATATTGAGACTCTAGAAGGAGTGCAGAGAAGAGCAACAAAGATGATCAGGGGACTGGAGGCTAAAGCATATAAGGAACGGTTGCTGGAATTGGGTATGTTTAGTTTAATGAAGAGAAGGACGAGGGGGGACATGATAGCAGTGTTCCAATATCTCAGGGGCTGCCACAAAGAAGAGGGAGTCAAGCTATTCTCCAAGGCACCTGAAGGTAGGACGAGAAGCAACGCATGGAAACTAATCAAGGAGAGAAGCAACTTAGAACTAAGGAGAAACTTCCTGACAGTTAGAACAATTAACCAGTAGAACAACCTGCCTCCAGAAGCGGTGAATGCTCCAACAATGGAAGTTTTTAAGAAGAGACTGGACAGCCATTTGTCCGAAATGGTATAGGGTTTCCTGCCTGAGCAGGGGGTTGGACTAGATGACTTCCAAGGTCCCTTCCAACTTTATTATTATTATTATTATTATTATTATTATTATTATTATTATTATTATTATTATTATTATTATTATTATTGATCATCGCACAGTCAGCCAGATGTTCAGACTGGATTTGGCATTTTTATCTACCTATCGAGTCCTTCCCAAGGACCTGGGATAGGCAGATGTGGATGTTTGACGGTATTACAGATATCGTCATAGGATGGAAGCAGTTCCTAGTAAGGCCGCCTTTGCAATTGACTAATGGCGAATTTGTCAATTGCAAAAGGTGGCTTTATTAGGAACTGGTATAGGGTTTCCTGCCTGAGCAGGGGGTTGGACTAGATGACCTCCAAGGTCCCTTTACTATTATTATTATTATTATTATTATTATTATTATTATTAATCTGACTTTCCCCATTGACTTTGCAAGATCTCTATCGTAGGAAGGTCGCAAATGGCAATCACATGACTCTGTAGGGCTGCAATTGTCATAAATACATGCCGTTTGCCGAGCACCCAAATTTTGATCACGTGACTTTGGAGATGCTGCAATGGTCCTAAGTTTGAGGACCAGCTGAAACTAACTTTTTTTCAATGCTGTTGTCACCTGGGTCGCTAAATGAACAGTTGTAAGTCAAAGACTACCTGTATGTTTGCCATCTTGAATTATTTGAAAAAACCAATAAAGGCAGGATAAAAAAGAAAAAAAATTAAAAGCCACTAGAATTCCCAGGTGGCTGAAAATCCTGTCTGTTGTGTCCCACCATACCTGGAAGGCCTTTGCTTGTAAATGCCACTCAGTTATTTTGTACATAACATGATTCAATATTTTTCAACTTCTAGAAGGACAAAAAAAGGTTTTTTTCCTACTCTTGTTGCATCAAACTCAGCTGCAACCGTGTGGTGCTCAATTCTTTTTCCAGCTGCTCGACTTCGAAGCTCCAAACGCTGCTTAATTCCCTCAGCAGTCGGTCTTTCTCAAGAGATTCCTACAAGCAGATATACACAGTGTAAAAATTACAAACGAAAGAGCATTTGTTCGACAAGTTAACATATCCCAGAAATGTTGTGAGAAATTATGCAGATATCTTGAATTAATTTAAGTGGGTTTAATGTTTAAGGATGGTCAAGCAAAGATTCGTATGTTGTGAGGTTGCAACACAACCACCTCATAGCAGCACCCCTAACACAGCAACATCACATCATGTGTTTCACCATCTTCACCCAATCACAACTTGGAGCTAATAATACACTTGTTTAATTAAAACAGTAAACATCTGCAGAAAGAGCACAGCCAAATCCCTGGGAGAGGAATCCAATTGTATGGCAAATATTTGGGGGAGAAAGGCTTTTTGCTTTCATTGCAATACAAATAGCATGCTTAGAGCACACTATCCTTTAACATAGCTTTTTCCTGGCTGACAGATCCTTCAAAATGTATTAACTTCAACAGCATAATTTAGGAGCAAGGATATTTGCTATGGCAAATCTAGACAGCATACTAAAAAGCAGAGACATCACCCTGCCAACAAAAGTACGTATAGTCAAAGGCCATGGTTTTCCCAGTTGCAATGTATGGCTGTGAAAGTTGGACCATAAGAAAGGCTGAGCGCCAAAGAATTGAGACCGTTGAACTCTGGTGCTGGAGAAGACTCCTGAGAGTCCCCTGGACTGCAAGGCGATCAAACCGGTCAGTCCTAGAGGAGATCAACCCTGACTGCTCTCTAGACGCCAGATCCTGAAGTTGAAACTCAAGTACTTTGGCCACCTAATGAGAAGGAAGGACTCACTGGAGAAGAGCCTAATGCTGGGAAAGATGGAGGGCAATAGAAGAAGGGGACGACAGAGAATGAGGTGGCTGGATGGAGTCACTGAAGCAGTAGGCGTGAGCTTAAATGGACTCCAGAAGATGGTAGAGGACAGGAAAGCCTGGAGGAACGTTGTCCATGGGGTCGCGATGGGTCGGACACGACTTCGCAATTAACAACAACAAATATTTCAGTAGTGGCTTTAATGTTTCAGCTGAAGATGTTTAAGGTTTTGGACCTTCTATATGAAATATGCAGCCCACACCATGATGTATAACATTTAAGATATTCCAGCCAGCACAGCTATCAGGCTGAAAAACACTGCACTCAGATTGCCCAGCGCATTTCAGCTAATTATCTTAGGTCATATGATCCTCCTTCATGAAGATCATATTTTTGGTTTGTCATAATTATTATTTCTAACGGCAAGCACACACCCAAGTACTATTCAGTATGCATGGACTGCATTTTGTTCCATCTCTCCAACTACTTCAGCAGTAACTGACTGGAACCCCCAAGAATCTGTAGGAGAAATCCATCAAGAACCGAGATAGAAAAGTTTTTGGAAATAGTTATAACAAACAATCAGTGTAGCTGGAAAATTCTAGGAATTGAAGTCCGCACATTTCAAAGTTTTTCAAAGATTTGAAAAACACTAATATAAATGTTTCTCTTCTTTCCTGCTGAAGGTTTAAAAATTGATTTTGTGTTATCTCCCCCCCCCCTTTTTAATTAATTAACCATTTTTGTTTTTTCTTTTCCCTTATACATTTAGACTAAAAAATAAAAACAAAATGCAAGTTTGGTTTTACTTTTCCCTTACAAAATTAGACTAAAAGATAACACAACATCCAAGTTTGGTTTTACTTTTTTCCTTTACAAAATTAAACTAAAAGATAACACAACATCCAAGTTACTTCTCCCTCACAAAATTAGACTATTTCCAAAGGCAAAGAGAAGGAAGAAATTATTCCCCTAGCTGCACACCTTATAGGTCACACTATAAAATGCTTTCCTTTTTAATCTTTATCTCCACCCCCTTTTTTTTAATGTGCCAGAAAACAACAGAGTTATGGGAGTTGTATTTGTCTTACACACTTGGGATGAAGGAGAACACTTGGAATAAAACCAATAACTTCCAAATCTTTCCACCAGGGCTGGGGTAAGCAACCTTGGCTCTTTGTGACTCCTGGACTTCAACTCCCAGAATTCATGAGCCAGCATGGCTCAGCTTGGAGACCTCTCCCTTTCCCCTCAGCATGGCTGGCTCAGGAATTCTGGGAGTTGAAGTCCACGAGTCATGAAAGAGCCAAGGTTGCCTACCCCTGCACCAGCGTATCCCAGACCTGGCAATTTCCAGGAAGGTGGACTTCAAATCCCAGAATTACACAGCCAATATGGCCACTGACGAGAGCTCTGGAAGTTGAAGAAAGTAGAACTAGGATATATAAAACGCTTCTTGAAGAAAAGGTGTGAGATCTTTCAGACTACACACTCAGTCGTGTGTAAATGAAGACTCAATCATCCAGGTCAAAAGTATCTAAAAGGTTAAATCAGGGCAACTGGACCAAAGTTTATTAACATTGAGATGTCTGAGTAAATTTAGAATAGAATGGAATGGAATGGAATGGAAT